CCCCCCCACTTTTTGAACCCCCTGTCCCTACTCAGGCTACTGTCTCAAAAGTCTATGGGATTCTGATTGCTTTGCCACTGAAATTCCTTCTTCTTCCCTGAAAATTTGCTAAAAGCAAAATCAACCCTAGTAGTAGTAGTTTTCTGGGTGAGTCGACAGGTTGAAACTGACCAGGCACAATCTAATAACAGCTCAGGATATCTGACTTGCAATAAACCTTCTTGGTCAGGATACTGTCCTTTATTTCTTATCTCCAACCCAAGGAAAATTGGACCCTCTCTGGCCGATGGATACTGCCTGGCCAATTTCATATTTCTTTTTGCCACCTTAGGATCTGCTTGGAGCTAGTGCTTCATTTCCAGTCACCACAGTTCTCTGAACAAAAACAAAGGTCTCAACTCTCAAGCCAACCCAAGCCAGTGCACATTATGTAAATTGGGGGTAATTGGCACGTCAACGTGAAGTTGGAACTGCACACCTGAGGCAAACTCTTTGAAAGGACAGTAATGGTGTCCTCCCTATTATTATTAAATTTCATTTTATACCTTCTTGCATAGAAATACTAGTACATTTGTATATCATTGCTGTGGTTGTAATGTAGAAAATACTCCAGGGTCTGTAGAAAAGAAAGTTATCGGAGAAGGGCAAAATCACTTTTTTCTTCAAACATCACACCCACCGACCTATAATCTCCAAGCAGATCCTACTGTGACAAGGCTGTCAGCTTTGTCACAGTATAGGATCTGCTTGAAGATCCTACAGCAAATGGAACCAAGGACCTTGTTGGAACAGACCATGCTACAAAATGTCCCCACCCACCCAAAGTGTCGTTTCTCCCCATTTACAGAAGTACATTTTGACCGTAGTAGTTATACAGTAGACAAAAACACATCATTCAAGTATTTCTCCAGCCATGAAATATGAATGTAGGATGTACTCAGTAGACTATTTTGTAGGGCACCAATGGCCGCTTGTGTGTCTACCTATTATTATAAGTGGCTGCAAAGAGCTTTCATTAAAATTGATGAAAGCTCCTTTCGCTGTAAAAAGTCTCAATAAGTAAACAATGCAGCCAATTAACTTGTCTCAGACAGAACAATGGGACAAAATACACACGATGTCAAGTTTCTCAGCAAGTCACACCAAGCTTTTTAAAGCTCCTTGGTTTAAAGATTTCATGACATCCTCACAAAAATACTCTGCACCTGGTGGTACCAAGGTTCAAAATTAATGTATGTTCCAACTTCCTAGTTTCTCAACATATTTCTTATCATGATGCCTCCAAATATCTGAGAATAATAGTGAGTCCTGATTTGCACTGCTTGCAGTGTGTATTTTGAATGACAGACATTATAACAAAGGGCCTCCTTCCACTCAGACAAAGGAGGTAAAAGAGAGAACCTCCCTTTTTTGTGACAATTATCAGAGATTTCTCCCATTCTTGACCAGCTAAGGCATTTTGCTCATTATATGACACGATTATGACCATATGAAAATTTGTGGGCAATATTCACAAGAACGACTGACTGTTTTCAGCTGCTAAGCCAAATTTAATTTCGATCCCCGAATATTGTGGCCAGTGTAATAGCAATTGAGGAACTTGATCAATTTATTTGCAAGACCTGTGTGTTCTACATCTCAATTCTTACAAGTAGACTGAAGGAAATAAATTTAAGTATTTTTATTTTATATGGCCTCCTTCAGTCAATATTGATCATGTCGGTAAAATTCTATTAGACATAGCTTTGGAGTAGTGAGTATGTGTTTGTAAGCTCTCTGGAATCTTTCTTTTTTGTGACCCTTATAGTTGGCTGAAAGGGGCAGATAGAAGAGTGTGGATTGTGCTCTCCATGCTTATTCTTTGTCCTGATAATGTTGATTTTGCACATCAATTGGATTGGATGACTGTCTGAGCTCACCCTGACGGGATCAGAGCTCACCCCGATCGGGGTGAACTTGCCCCGTCGGTGTGTATAGACTGATCAATTCACACCTTTCCTGGCTTTGTTTTGGGATTTTGCACCTCTTTGACCAGAACTCCCACCCCGTCGGGGTGACATTACCCCGTCGGGTTTAGTGATTATGACAGTGTCACCCCGACGGGGTGAGTACCTTACACCGACGGGGTGAGTACTTTACACCGACGGTCCTGTGATTTGGTCCTGACGGGGTAGCTGCTAGCCCTGTCTGGGTGCTGAAAAACCCGTCGGTCTGCTTGCATTTTCTATAAATGATATCTAAAGTTATGAATACTGCAGAACAATAATTTTCATATCACTATACTCCTTACATCAAGACCTGCGCACTGATGTGAAACTTGAATGCAAAATGTTAATTTTTACTTGACATTCCAAATGGCCAGTGACTTTCCTAAATTGAGATGACCAGTGTTATGTAATTCTTACCAGTAATTTAATAACCTTAGTTTATTTTGTAGATTGAAGTGAAATTTTAAGTTTGCAAAGAAACTTTCATTGCTTGGAACACCAAAAGATGTTATTAAGTCTTATATGATGTGTTTGTAAATAAAGATGTTGGTTAAGAACTAACACCTTCCTTAGCCTGTGTTACTGACAATGTTGAGCCTTGTCCCCATGTGTACAGGGCATCACGCTGAAGATGAATGAGGAGGGGCGGTGTGTGGTGGCCAGGATCCTGCACGGGGGCATGATACACAGACAAGGTAAGGACACAGGCAGGGAGGCAGTGGTTGATTGAGATTAATAGTAATAGGTGAGTAAGTCAGTCTGTAACAGAGAGCCTATCACTTTACAATCTCATCTCTTCTGATGTAAAAACTTATCAAATATACAATATATTGATTTCAAGGTATTGAAGTACTGTTTTGGGTGGCTGAGCTGTGGGTTTGTGCATCTGGTTGTTATAGCAGGTTGATAGCACATGGGTGGGGAAGACTGTACAATGGTAGTGTACAATGACAGGACGTCAAAGTTCACAGCATCTGGCCAGGAGCCACATGGGGAAACATACTACCTCACTAACCTCAGAAACTTGAAGATTGTCATTGTCATCATTGTTGGACATACATGTAATATAATTACAAAAGAAAAAGATCGAGTTTACCAGACTTACTGATTCAGAAGTTGAATACAGTACATTATGTAAGATCCCAATCACGTCCCAGGCAGTGTCAGTGTTGCTGACAGTGCAGCAGTGTTGTACATGCAGCGCCCATATGGTCCATTACATTCCTTATTAAGTTTTGATCGGCCTGGGTCCTCTCCCGGGCCAAATGATGCACGTAACTGCCTCGGGGGCAGGGTTCGTGTACGAGTGGGGTCAGCGAAATAGGAGGGGTCAAACGGGCCAATCCGCATCCCACAATTGTACCTCTCTGTAATAACAGACGTGGCACACGCTAGCTAGGCCTAGGGAAAAAAATGTTGTGTTTACTGTTTCCCGACCGACCCTAGAAAAAACTGCCAACCCTAGCCATTTTTTTGTGTGGACCCCTGTGCAAGGGACATAAATTTTTCAAGCTGATCAACCTTTTCTAGCTTCATGATCTGACAACTGAGTGATGAAACGTTGTACAATCAGTTTTCCAACATTGACATTGAAACTATAAGTATCCTCATGCAATATTTACTTTCTTAAAATACTGCATTGTATAAGTTGGATCACTAGAGATCGTCAAAGTTTAAAATAGAAAAAAAAAAGATAATACTAACAGTACCAACCCTTTTTTTGGACTGAAACAGGAAACACAATTTTTTTTCCTAGGCCCTACATCTCGGAATATAGAAGGACCCAAGGCAGCTGCAATATCGTGCTTCATGCTGTGATGTAATTATAACTTCGGCGAGCTGAAACCTGTTTGTCTGTCATTTACTGGCCACTCTTCCTGACCTGCATGACCTATCAACATTTATCGTCCATGATCCCGTGATCCGAGGATGTTAAGACAGGGATGAGCTTCCTTGTAATTTTGGCAGCATATAAGATCCCGTACTTTAATAGCAGTAACGCAATTATGTAAGAGCGACTTGTTCTATTTTCAATCAACTGCAACAGTTTTATACAGATGGGTCCATTTGTAAGGTCACCGGTTGTGTAGGATTGTCTGGTTTATGAAGATTAAAAAATTCTTAAGTACTTACTTGGAACTCAGCAGTATTGTAAATTGCGATAAGTTTGCAGTAGTTTTACTGTCATGTTTTTTTCAGTGGACTCTTACCACAAAATAGTAACACTGCTCTGTGTTTTATATTAAAACAGAATTGTTTCAAACAAACAAATGCTACAAAAACCTCTCCTTCTCTCTCCTATCACAAAATGAAACCACTGGGAAAGTTTAAATCATTTACAGAGTACACCAATCCAAAATTCTTTGAATAATACTTTTAAAGAAAGTTGGCACTTGACAGGGAATAAATGTACACCTAACGACAAGAGAAACACGCCCCTATCATGCTTGTACGACATCACTACCGCGTCTTTCCTCCTCTCTCCTGCTGTGTAGGGTCAAAATGTCTGCCTACATATTGAGTAACCTCTTCATAATATGAAATGACCTTTAACTTGTTCAAGCTGACATCCAGGGTGGGTCAACATTCTGGACACAAATATCATTCTGATGACCTTGAATTGCCCCCCTCCCCATTCCCCAGCCAGCAGCCTGCATATTACATCTCTGTCTGGCCTTGACAGATTTTTTTTTAAGATTCACACAATATTTCATAAGCTAAACTTGGACAATGAGTGATATTTTTTCATTGCAAAAATATATTTATGAAAGGTATGATAGATGATGAAACTAATATTTGAGATCATATTGATATCATTAAAAGATCTTGTCTCAAACTTGCTAAGGAAGGCGTTCCCCCTAAGTTAGAGTAAAGAATGCACTAGGATGGTGAGGATGATTTAGTCAAGAAAGACATTATACTGAATTGAATTTCTTGACTTGAACGACAATGTGTATTCTAAACATGCAAACTAAGTGTAACGAAAAAAGTTTCACTTGTACAGTTGTAGCAGATTACAGTTATTGGCACAATGGCACCAAATCAGTGTTCTTATCAGTGTTAGGACACCCTTCAGACAAATAAGCCATATCTGATAGACACTGTGTGTCATGAGTGTTAGACACTGTTTTGACGTTGATGACAATGGATTAGCCAAAGCACCGTGTTGTCATCAGTATAAGGACACCCTTCAGACAATGTATTAGCCAAATCTGTGTCTTCATCAGTGTTAGCACACCCTTCAGACAATGGATAAGCCGAATGTCCTCATCAGTGTAATTAGGACACTTGTTAGAAAGGAGTCGAGTCTCTCTCTAAACTCCTTGGATTTGCCGATAGGCCCGTTGGGCGTCACTCCACCTTACAATGAGGAAAGTCGCGTAAAGTGCCATTGCCAAGGGCACAATTTGCTGAACGTACAACGTTGTCAGAGTTGTCAGAGGATTGTGCCTGGAACCGCTTGGTTTCTGAGCCAAACACCACAATCATGATGAGGTACTTTACAGGTAGAATTATGTATTTATGAAGACGTGATGTTTGTGTTTTCCAGCAACCCTGCATGTTGGAGATGAGATTCGAGAAATCAACGGTGTGAGCGTCGCCAATCAGACTATAGAAGCTCTACAGAAGATGCTGGTAAGTCCTGCAACCAGCCCTCCCCCCTTTCAATTTTACCTTAAATATTATTTTTATAACCTGGTATTTATCTATCGATCTATTTCATCTTGACACAACTAGGTAGCCCCTTCAACTTATAAAAGTTGATTTCAAAGGGGGCCCAGCATATACAGAAAAAACGTTTTTGCATTTATTCTGCATAACATGAAAGAAGAACAACATTTTATAGAACAAAGATCCTTCCACAAATGTGGTAAATTGTCATAAAATAAAAACATAGAAATAAAGTAAAGATCCATTGCGTCAAAACAAAACAATTGTCTGTAAGTCAAGGTCTTTGCTGTTCCAAGGTCAAAATCAATATCAGATCAAGCTGAACCTAAAATTAATTGAGAAATATTACGTGTCTAACCTGAGCAACATTTGAATGATTCCGGGGTTTACTTTATGAGAATCAGAGCTTTGTCCTAATCTTTGCTTGATTAATGTTCGAGATTAAGTGCAATAAAAGGTGAACAGATTTTATATTGCATCTCATTAATGCAGTATTTGCAAGTGTTTCCCTTCCTAACTGTGTTACTGTTTGAAGTTTTAAAGACGTCACGTTTAGGCCCTGGAAAAGACCATTACATGCTGTAGATCTTTTTTATGAAAAGTCGAGTTATTTGGGAAGGAAGTTTAAGTGTGACTGGGTATTATAAAGTAGTCTTGTTAGGCATGGCTCGTACAGTCATCTCAAATTGTGTCACAGTATAAATGTTTAAAGACATTACATTTAGGCTCTGGAAAAGATCATTAAATGCAGACGAGTGTAGATCTTTTCTTTTTTATGAAAGATCAACATTTTTGAGGAATAGAACTCTAAGTGTGACTGGGCATAAAGTAGTCTTGTTAGGATACATGTAGCTCATACAGTCATTAAAAAAATTGCATAATAAGGCTCTGGAAAAGACAACATGCAACAGAATCTGATCTTTTTCTTATTAAAAGTCCAAAGTTTATAGGAACAGAACTTAAAGCGTGACCGGGTATTATACTCTACTCTAGTTAGACACGGCTTGTACACTTGTTAAAAAAATTCTCATTTACTATATAATACACTATAATAATGATTTAGGCTCCGGAAAAGATAATAGTATTACATTTGCGTGCAACAAAATCTGATTTTTTCTTATTAAAAGTCAAAGTTGATAACAGAACTTGAAGCGTGACCAGGTATTATACTCTACTCTAGTTAGACATGGCTCATACAGTCATTACAAAATTGCACACTTAGGATCTATAAATGTGAAGAATTTTACATGCCACAGAAGCTCAATCTTTTTCTTATATTAAAAGTAAAAAGTTTATACCAACAGAACTTAAAGCGTGACCGGGTATTATAGAGTACTCTTGTTAGGATGGCTCATACAGTCATCTTGAAAATTGCAAATTTAGGCTATGGAAAAGATTACCTGCAACAGAATCTGATCTTTTTCTTATCAAAAGTCAAAAGTTTATACTAAAATTATAGGAACAGAACTTTAAGCGTGACCGGGTATTACCGAGTACTCTAGTTAGACACGGCTGGTACGGTCTAAGATCTGTCCGGGGGCGGCTGTAGTTAAAGAGGGATTAAAGCCATTTGTGGGGATTTGCTCGCCCAGACTCTCTGGCTCAGGTCCACTAATTACAGATTTTCTTTGGACATCCTGCCGGCATTAACGAGGCGGGCATGTCCGTCTCTATAGCGTGTAATTACGGAGGTGTGTCGAGTGAATACATGATGATGTACGTGTATGATACGCCATCGTTCATGGCACAATTTATAGGGTGGTACTGTAAAATATTGGATTAACGATTAAGCCCTGTTAGTATTACTAATTAGGTCATTAGATCTTTATCGAAGCCCATGAAATATGTAGTGAATGCTTTGAATTTTTGCAGAGGAAGTTTTGTAGGAACAAAGGCGTATTCTTGTTGAAAATTAATGTAAGAATTATGTTAAGAACAAAGATGCTTTTTTTTTTAAAATTAATTGTAAATACATTTTACATCGACTTGTATGAACTTCAGAAAGCTCCCCCTAGCACTGAGAGAAGAAAGTGCAAGAAAAGATTTTGCAGTTTTTTTACTCCACAGGAAAATGACCTGAAAAAAAGTTTCTTGTTTATAACTTGTTTTTAAAGTTTATAACATATTCACACATTTAGTAAAAAATACCATAATGAAGCACCAATACCCCTTACTAGAATGAAACAGTCTGAAAATCAGTCTGTAGTGTTGTGTTCCCATAGCATTCTGTTGCCATGCAGAAGATTACATTTTATTTCTGGGGGGTTTAATCAAATTGTTTCTTTACATCTTTCAAATATTGGTTGATATTCTTTTGATACAATTTAGTAGTTTGTTTAGTCTATTTTGTTGTATGTTTTTGTTTTGTTTATTTTTGTTTTGTTAACTGCTGTTTTGTTTACAGAGAGACGCGCGGGGTAGCGTCACGTTAAAGATTGTTCCTAGCTATAGGCCGCCGCCTCCAAACATTGAGGTCAGTATGGCGCTGCCGAATGTTAGGCTGACTTCTGTCTCACAGTAAGCAGGACATTGCATGGCCTTGTACTAACTGTGTGGTGCCTCCCTCCATGTGTGTTTTTGACTTTGTCTTGGTGATTTGCAGAAGGATGCCCGTGGTAGCGTCACGTTCAAGATTGTGCCTAGCTATAGGTCTACTTCTCCAGTGTGTGAGGTTGGTATATCGAACCCCGAAAAGGTGGATCATTGGTTTTCGAACATGGTTCGTACAAGAAAAAAAATTTTCATCCTTTCCTTTTGAAATTTACTTTTTTGTTTGGAGCATTTTGGAAAAGTACAGAAAGTTTGCTGGAAAGAAAATGTAAGAAAAAATATCTAAATATCTCAATTGTGAATGGTCCATATTGTGTACATTTGTACATCTTTGCACCCTTTGCATCCTCCCATGGCAGGGGCAGCGGCTCCGAATTCCTTCTTCACCCCTACCCCTGCCGTATTACATGGCATCTTCTACTCTACGACCCGATTCCAGGGACACGCTCTCAGCCAATCACGTATCACAGAGAAAATCTTCAACGCACTTTACATTAATATTTATGAGATGCGCTAGCTATCGGAACCAATCATGTCGGCTATTCAGTGACAAATAAAAACAAACATGGCGTCGTCTCGGGAAGAGAACTTTTGCGATGCAGGCCGCTGCGGGCGTCGGCGGGGCGCTAGCGTGTGCTGGAGGCTGCGCGCGGATCCCGCCGAGCACGGGGAAGGTGTTAACTCGGTGACTTTGCCCCGCACGGCCTCCCCAACGCGTTAACGGGCTCGTCACCGGGCGGCGGCGGAGTCGCCGGCGGGGAGGGTGACGTCCCTTCGCCGCCCAAGTCAGAAATGGGGTCATGCCAAATAAGGCAAGCTCATGAATATTAATATTCCTCGGGTCGTAGAGTAGAAGATGCCATGTAATACGGCAGGGGTAGGGGTGAAGAAGGAATTCGGAGCCGCTGCCCCTGCCATGGGAGGATGACCCTTTGTTAAGTGGTGAGAGATGTACTATTTGTGTGTTATCGTTGTCCTGAAAAAAAAGAATTTGGTCCTTTTGGTACGTGTACGAACCCTGTGAATGTTCACCTTACTTGTGTTTCCCTGGGAATAGGGTATAGGACAGTGCAATATGCTGGTAACTGGGGATTTTAATGCGACCAAACCCAAAGTATTTTCTATCCCCAAGTAAGTCAAGACAAGATAAAATGTCTTAGTCCAGGATTTAGTACTAAAGGGCCGAGTTTGTCCTTAAGTACTGAATCCTGGACTTTTTGCTCTGCTTTTTCCTGAAATCTAGCCCTACCCTATTCCCACATATCTGTGCTTGTGCTGCATAGCCTGGCCTTTAACCACACTAACCTTTATACATCATCAGTCTGTGGCACTAGCTGCTTGTTTTCTGTTTTTCATGTTTCTAATAGACTAATTGTGGCTTTGTTGGGCATAGTGGTAATTACATGTAGGTGTATTTGTGATGTGTTGTACTGTGTAATGTGTTGTGTGTATACTACAATTTGACGATAGTCATTCAGTGTTTCCCTGTCATTTTGTTAACATGGTGGTTTTGGTGAAGTAATCCCCAAACATCTCCATTGAAATAAGAAATTATAAACAATAAATATTGTATCTTGAATATTGAATTCAGCTTTTCATAAATGTTGTGACCATATAACTGTAATGACAGGAAAAACACTGTGATTTGTTGTGTTTTTTTTTTGTGGCCAACAAAATACAAACCTTTATTTGTAACACCAATGTGTCATACAAAAGTGGATAGCAAGTATTTGTTCCTCATACTAAGTACTTGAAAAGCAACAAACGACATTTCGGAAAGTACAACGTTGAATTTTCTTGGCCATACACAAGCAGTAGTTATAATTTGCATTTTTTTTTACTTTAGTATTTCAAATTTTAGTACTGTTACTACTGTATGAGTTGTTTCTGAAATGTGGCTATCTTTTTCCGAAAGTGTGATGATCATTCATTGGTTGATTGATTGTTTGTCTGTGCGTGTTCAGATCTTGAGGAGCAACAAACAATATTTCTTCATCATAACCTCTACCTGAACGTATAGCGTTGTATTTTCTTGGCCACACACAAACAAGTAATATTTATCTTTTATTTTTGCATTTTTTTTACTAAATAATAAGTAGTACTCAAAATTTTAGTACTGAATGAGTTGTTTCCTTATGGTTTTTCAAGTAATTTTTGTGTGTGTGTGATGATCATTTATTGTTTGTTTGTGTGTTTGTGCGTGTTCAGATCTACGTCCGCGCACAGTTTGAGTACGACCCGCTGGAAGACGAGATCATCCCGTGTCGACAGGCCGGGATCATGTTCAAGGTCGGGGACATCCTGCAGATCATCAGCAAGGACGACCACAACTGGTGGCAGGCGCGGAAAGTCGACACTCCGATTAACGGCGAGGCCGGGCTGGTGCCCTCACCGGAGCTGCAGGAATGGTGGGTGGTTGTCTCCCTACGTACGCGGTGTACTGCAAGTATTCAGTGCCTAAGATGCCTAGGCATCCTACATGTATGATAGCCCGCCCCAAATGCCACATGTACCAAAGAAGCCACAAAGTCAAATTATACTAAGGCTGTTTTTTAACTTTAAAAGGACAAAAAGTAACAGCCAGAAAGGAGTTTCTTCAGAAAATAGATTGGTTTTGGAATATGGTAATGATTTTTTCACTGCAGATTACTCATGGGATGAAGTAATGTAGGTTTGAGCCCTTATCAGTCATTTATTGAACTGCAGGGGCCTTTTTCTTAGTGACTTTTTGTCAAAAAAGAAAACTCAACAAAAGATGAATGGACTTCCAGATTATTTCCCAGGAATTTGCTCTTTGGATCAAGTTGACGTGATATGGGTTTCGGTCCCAAGCAATTATTTTCTGAACTGCATGAACCTTTTTCTTGGACAATTTGAAAGAGAATGGCTCAATGAATGGATTTTCTTGCTTCTTTTCAGGAGGGTGGCCTGTCTGGCCATGGAGAAAGCTAAGAAGGAGTCCCAGGCCTCGTGCACATGGTTCGGCAAGGTCAGGAAGAAACAGTACAAGGACAAATACCTGGCTAAACACAACGCTGGTAAGTGCTGATATCTTGTGAAAGTTTCACATTTTACATTTTATCTCTGTCAATACAGTAACTCCTGGATGTGACATTCATCACTTAAACTTTTTTCAGCTTTCATACATATGTGTGGAGTTTTGTTGCTGTTGACAAGTTATAAAATGATAAGTATGAATATATAAGATGAGAATTATCAATTTTTATTAACAATTACTCCAGACAACAGCATGCAGCAGTGTACATGTACATGTATGTGGATTTAGGAAAGTATAGTAACTGTTATTATATAGAACCATATGAAATCTTTTCTTGATCAGATTCTACATTTCACTTCCTTTCCTCACAAGTGCTACCAATGGATGGAAAAACAAATACAACTACAGCTCTTTTATTGCATTCACACTGCACAATTTAAAAAAAAATGCTGTCATATTATATTTCCTCCTTGTTGTAAACTTGGTGGAAAAAAGTGTTCCTTTTTTTAGATGTTTACAAAACGTCTTCTCTGCACCTGTAAAATGCTGTTTGGAAGTTGGTGCCAAATGACTGCCTTAGGAGGCTGAAGGATAAAAAAATTACAGGTGTTAATATTAAAAGTAGCTCAACGAAAGTTTCTTCTGTCCTGTGTGTAGACCACCCTTCCTCAGTACAATGCTTGTTTTCTGCATCACACTTTGCATATCACATTGTATCTGTTTTAGCCCACCTGGAATTACTACATGTAGGGTAACGTATGTCCTGTCCACCACTGTTCATCTCAGTTGTCTCTGCCCAATTGGAAAGCTTGGGGGAGAGGGACTAGTACTGTGCTCATATTCTGTTGCTTTAACAGTGCCTGTCATAGATTTTAGTAAGTCTTGATAATGACAAGATGGCCAGCGAGAGCCTGGGTACCATCCTACTTGTATGCCGGGGCTCCCACACTCGCTTCCCAACTTGTTAGGGAAGCGAGTGTGGGAGCCCCGGCATACAATGTACAAGTAGGATGGTACCCAGGCTAGGCCAGCGAAGGATTTTTAAAGAAATTAAGGTTAGGGAGAAAACACAATGTAGTCAAAGCAAGACAAATGTTCTAGTCCTACCCCCTCAAGTCTTTGTAATTGGAATATCTCTTCACATATCTTATCATTAAACTTACTAACGTACTAACCCCTCTATTTCAGACTATTTTCCTGTCTAATACAACATTCCCCGACAGATTCTGCATGTGTTTTTGGATCAATGTTGGAAGCTTTTTTTGCCTTCCCCAAACAATTTAAAAGAGCAGTAAATTAACGTTAGCTGTTGCTTTTCAAGATATCTTTATTTGTTTTATTTGGCCATAGTGCAAATAAATGTTACTTAACGTAACGTAACAGTAATATTTTGACATGCCTCAGGTTTTCGGTGTGTGCCTTTTGTAGCACATCAGTAGAGACTAAATTTACCTTCTACAAGCATTTTTAAGTTTGTGGAACTAGTTTTTGTAAGGATTATTGGCCCATGAACGGTTTTAGCACACATGTAGCTAACTTTCTAACCTGCTCTTGTCGGCTTGTCCACTGACATAACCTGTTGTAAACCAGCGTGGCAGTTTTCAACACTTTGTCCCATTTCTTTCCTTCCTAATGCATCCTATGTCGCTCGTAGTTGACAAATCTGAGCTCGCTAAGTGTAAGTTGGTATTTCTACTTACTACCAAGGCCACATAGGTCGCAATTCTGGGGACTGTGGCAATCAACAGGCAAAATTTGGTGCCAAGTGGGAAACTTTTTGTGATGTTGAGAAGTTAGCTTCTTATGTTGAGTCAGTTTCCTCCTTTTTGTGGTCATTTTCTTTATTTACAAAGTAGCCTGGTTGCCAGCCTTTTTCTTAGCTTTCGTATGCTGTCTTGTTTCCCTGCCAAAAAGACTACCCGGTAGATCTGCATGTATTCTCTATCTGTCTAGTGATTGGACGACTAAAGGCTCTGCTGATTGGACAACCTTTTAGATCTAGAGGCAGCTGTGGCCAATCGGTGGGGTTGTTTGAATTCAGAACAAATTTTGAAATGAGAGAGTATGTGTGAGGCCAGTCTTTTTAACAGGGAAGTGACTGAAAAAGTGTAATACTAATAATAAAAAAGCTAAAAAGGTTGGCATTCATGCTATAAAAAAAGTATATCCAAACAGAAAATAATTTCTTGTTGTTGTTGTTGTCATTACTTTCTTTCAGTATCTGTACAACAATTATGCATGACTAATGTGTTTTAATTGCTTGCTTGTCATAAGGGATACCATACAGTAGTTCAGAGTTATGCTATCTAGGAGAGTCCCATATGTTGACCACACTGTGCACTCATTATAGAAGTAGACTGCTGACTATCTCTAACACTCTCTGCACATATTCTATGCTTTGAAAGGTAAATTTAGTCTCTTCTAGTTCTGTCTTGGTTTAGAGACCAGTTTTCCTTCTCTGCAAACTTTGACAAACATGTTTTGTGTATGTTTTGTAAAGGATGCCCTGCAGATACTAGAATTTGATAGTTTATTTCTTTCATTATTGTGTTGGAATGCATGGCACTTCCCTCACTTCAGTAGTTTATACGTCATATCAACTAATATAGTATGTAACTGCTCTACCTAGTGTACCTTAATGGTACTGCAGCTGTTAACATCTGAGTGTATGTTTGTAGTTTATATTAAACATCTACGTCTAGTTTATTGTATTTTATTCAATAACTGTCAGAATGATTTCATGCATTTTCTTATCCTCATTTGTCTATCAGTATGTTTAAGTAGAACCTCACAAATAATGAAACCTTTTGAACAGATTATTTCATAGTAAATATTTATACTGGTTCAGTTTTGAAGAAAGACATTGCTGCATGGATTGAATAATATAGAAATAGTTTATGATCATACAGGTACATATGTATGGAAGATGACATGTAATTTCTCCTGACAAAAATTTCCCAAACTAATGCATGTTTATATCATAGATATTCTTGGATGAAGAATGATTCAGCGTTAAAACTGCAGCAAAATAGAGACAGGGATTGAATTGGACTGTATTGTATGACCCTTAAGCTGTGACCTGTTGTAATTCATAACCTGCTTACCCTACTAAATACCTTCCCACACATTCCATTGCAGTTTTTGACCAACTAGACCTGGTGACCTATGAAGAAGTGGTTCGGCTGCCCGCCTTCATGCGAAAGACTCTGGTGCTCCTGGGTAAGTAGCAGGCACAATTTCTATATGCAACGGGCAGCAATTAAAATTGCACTGGTTAAAGTGATGGTTTCAGAGGTTTCCAACTGTCATAAGACATCAAGCAAGACCTCTAATTTTAAACATATCTTTACAAAGGATGTGTCTGTATTTCTGACTTTCTGATTGTTTTAGAAGCTTTCTTTTGGGTGACTGGGTTGTGGATTTGTGTGTCTGCTTGTCCTAGTCTTCAGTTCAAGGGGGGATGGGAGGTGATTTTGACAGTTGATTAATAATTCCTGGAAGTCTAAAATCTCTGATTTCTTATTTGTTTCATGTTTCAGGTGCTCACGGTGTGGGCAGGAGACACATCAAGAACACCCTGATCACAACCCACCCAGACAAGTTCGCTTACCCCATTCCACGTGAGTATGATGTAGTCTCCTTCGTATATATCTACGTAATTTAAGCACCTACAGTATATTTATGTGTTGTACAAAATGTATGTTGTAGGCCTTGACAATATGTAGTGTGGTGGTAAATAGCCTTTTTGGGCAACCGTGAATGTTATGCATTCCTTACAAAGCAAGGTTCTTATGAACAGACACATCTAGCTGGTAGATTACAGTAGATAGTAATTAAATTTGATTAGTGAGCTTACTTTAGTTAGCCTTTTTCTCACTCCTATTAATTAAGCACCCCAACTACCTACCTAGTACCTAAACACTGGTTTTAGTATTGGCATGACAAAATATGGTGATGATGACTAAGAAGTGCACAACTTCCTAGCATGCAAAAAGTAGAAATAAAAATTCATTGAAACCTAACTGAATGATGTACATAATATGTATAACATTATGTCAAATTGCAAATGGAGCTGATCTGTGTTTTTGGACATATTTTTCTATATTGACTGTCCAAACCCTCTTGAATAAAACCTAAACCTGCCCTTTTCACAAAGTCTTGGTGTTTGCTGTCATTTCCTATTAATCTGTCCCACCCTGGCCGTAAGGGCACACTTCTCATAACAGAAAGGGTTTGTGTTTGACTTTGGGAACCTATCAATGTACATCCCAGTGTTGGTGGTGGGGGAAGGGGTGTAGGGGGATAACAAAATAAATCCTGAACACGAACTAACAATGCTTTGCTCAATTGACAAAGCTCATAATAATAAAAAAAAAAATTTGTTATCCAATCAACAGTTTTTTAATGATTTGTCTTGTTTGTTGAATCTTTCCTTCCTTTCTGTAAGATTTTGATAACCAATAATAGGTTTTATTGTGTTTTAACTAACATCATCATATGCTTTGCTTCTGATTGTGATAATACATGTAGGTGTTCAGAGTAGTAGTCTCAGTTAAAGTTGACCTGTCTAATTTGTATCTTTATTTGTCCCTTTGTTCAAATGTTATGTATTTTCTCTTTCTGATTGTGTCTTTTTAGAGGTACTGTAGACAGGTCTTTCTTAATAATATAGAGACTGTTATTCTCTGAGTACCTGTGTTAAAGTTGTATTGCTTGGTTCCAATCATTCAGTGATTCTGTATCACTCATTCTGATTATTGCACTTTTGGGTTTTTATTAAAATACACGTTCACTCAATCCTCTCCATATTGTGTTTAATTTCATTTTGTCAGTTTTTTGTTGTTTTGAGGCATGATGCTGCTTTCAATAGTTTCATGCATAATCATGCTATTGCAAAATGGGTGTCTTGCTGTACAAAAGCATCAGCAATTAAAGCATGAAATTCAAGTCAATTTTTCAAACCACAGAATGAAATTAATCCCCATTGCAAAGAACAAAATTCAAGTCAATAACTAAAACTGCAGAACAAAATTTGTCCCCATCGCAAAGAATTAAATTCAAATCAAATCAATCGAAGTTCAAACTACAGAAGAAATTTGGCTACTTATCAAAGAACAAAATTCAAGTCAATTAATCAAACTCCTGAACCAAATCCGCCCCCCTCCCTTCAGTGAGAACCAAAGGAATACAACTTTTATCATTTTCCTGAGTGTGATTTTTTTCCCCACAGATTTTTTCCTTGATTTCACAGATCAGCTCTTTTGCTTCCACAGACACGACCAGACAAAGACCCTCTTTTGCCTCCACAGACACAACACGGACCCCTCGCAAGGAAGAAGAGGACGGCAAGAACTACTACTTTGTGTCACACGATCAGATGATGGCAGACATCGCTAACAATGAGTACCTAGAGTACGGTACTCACGAGGACGCCATGTACGGCACCAAACTGGACACTATCAGGAAAATCCACGAGGAGGGGCTCATTGCTATCTTAGATGTGGAGCCACAGGTTAGTCCATGTAGACGACTCTAACAGAACCCAGATTGTCTATTGGGCCCATCATCAAACTTGTCCTTCATTTTGCCAACACCTACCCACATACCAAATATCAAGACAAAACACCCACTGGCAGACATTGTTGAGTTATTGTGGACAGAAAGAAGGGGCTACACACTCACAAAGACATATGCATCAAGACATCCAAAAGTACATGCTTTACCTCAGAGGACAGAATCGGAGCTACTAGAATTTGCCCAAAATAGAAAAACAGAACAGTTTCGAACGAATGACATAATAACCCATGACTACCATAAGTTAAAAGTTTCGAATAATCAAATGTTAGTGCCAGATTCTCCTAGCTTACAGGCATTCACTAAGTGTTAAATCAATGTTATGTGCAGTAGATTTAAACATGTATGTATGTTTGTTTCTCCTCCCAGGCCCTGAAGGTGCTGAGATCGGCAGAGTTTGCCCCGTTTGTGGTGTTCATCGCGGCGCCGAGTATCGCCTCCATGAACGAGGTGCAGAAGAAAGCCATGAACGCAAACGTAAGTACAGACTCATATTACTGGTTTCATTAGTTCCATGTAGCATGTTATTAGCCCTTGTCCTGCAGAGCACGACAATTGCTGTTTTGGACTATCTAGTATATAGCACTCAGCATAGGTACGATTTGGGGGCATTTCTCGTGCAACGCATAACACCACAGCGAAACGCAACGAATGTGGAAGTAAATATGCCACCTCAGGGCAACAAAAAAGTTGGGGGTCTTTGACCTAATTAAGATATGAAATTATTGAAAAATATTGTGTGAAAAATGCCAGCAGGACAAGGGTTAGTTATCCTGAATTCATCATTGTTATTGAAAAAAAATTCATATGCAAATTTCAAAATGACATGAATAAATAGATAAAGAAGAATGCAATGAAGTATTTTCCAGGAACAACTTATTTTACCGTTAAGCATTCCAGGCCTTCCTGAAGTGTTGCCAGCTCTCCTACATTTACCATAAACTGTTGCCAGGATCCCCCCATTCAGACCCTCTTCTGTCTGTGTTCCATGTTGTTTTTTCACCTGTGACTAACTGTGTGCCCTTCCCTGCCACTTCTTACTGCCATCAGCTGCTCCTGGAGGGCGTGTACAAAAGTGTTGTAAGAATGCCTTCATCTCCGTACCATGTCCGTGTGGGTGACATGTGTAGAGTAGTCCACACTGTGTTCATCCCGTAGCCCCACTTAGGCCCGGTTATGTACATCGTACGGTGCGCCTATGATAGAGAGTTTTTTTGCGACAATCATGCCGAATTTGAAAAGAAATGGGTACAATATACGTCCACAAAAGTTAGACATCCAGCAGGTGGTCAGATATTGAGAACACTAATTATATTAGCAACTGGATCGGTTTTGAAAATGGGCAGACATTTTAGGTAGCATCCACTACCTTTTGTCAGACATTACCTTTCAGTCACTGATAAAAGACAGTGGATGCTGATGACTGAAATGTCTGTGAGCAGTTTCAAAATCCAGATGTTTGCATAGTACCAACTGTTGTCTCGACAACAGGTACCGTAGTTTAGAAACTAAACCATATCACATCCGTTTCTTCAATCTCAAACCTACGACATATGGCAATATTGTTGCAGAAAAACATTGTACTAGGTGCGTCATACAATGTATGTGACCAGGGCTTTAGAGTGTGTGCCTCCCAGTTAGCAGCATCAGTCCCAGACATGTTACTGTGACTCACATACCAGTGTTTCAGCTGTTACCTTGGTCCTGTGTTTGTAGCCCCTCAATCTGTAGATTTTCTTACAGAGTAGCTGTTTCATTTTGTGGATCTGTTCATTTGTTGCTACATGTAAGCACACATACATTGTACACACAGATGTTTTGGTAGTGGTGATTTGATTCAGGTTATATTTTGGGTGTTGCTGTGTCGTGTGTTAGTTTGCTCTTGCAGCTTAGAATTGGTTGTCTGCTTAGTTTCAAAGCCAGTGCATCCAAAACATTTTGTTTTCTTTCATATGCAGGAAGAACCTTTGAGCTTCATGTCCTTCATGTTTTTTATTTGATCTCAAACAAGTGCACAAAGTCATGTACATATACACCACCAAGGTCTTGTATCTCTTCAGAATTTAGTTTCTCAGAGCTCCCCCAACAAAAGACATTCACTGTCATATGTAACTTTCACAGTCATTTTGGATGATTGACGAGTGCCAGTTATTTTGACTTCCAGTTGGTCAAAGGCCCTCTGCAGCCAGTAATTCTCCACAGTGTGGGTACAAAACTACAGTACAACATTCTCACCAACCCTCACACAGTTACCCAACCAGTCCACAACCCCACACACACATCTTCTGTCTGTCTCCTGTTCTGTTCTTTGTCTGTCCTTCAGCCTAATGCGACAGTTGGGGTTCTGCTCTCGGTGCCCAGTCCTTGTAAGCTGCACAGAGGAGTAGGGACATCAGGTGGCTCTTACAGGGGTTACTGGTATCCCTGGTGGCTCTAACAGGGGTTACCGGTACACCTGAAACTGTCCAAAAAGAATCGGATGTCGACACTCAACACTCAACCCAAAAATACATTAAGGAAATGATTTTGGTTGGAATGGTTGTTTGAAAATGTAACAATACTCGTCCTTTGGTGTAAAGAGGCTTTCAGTTATACATATACCTAGAAACCTGATTATCCTGATGTAAACTTGAACTCTGTGCAGTTTACCTTTGCCTAGTCTGCGGTGTGTGGTTGGTTAACACGAAGGTGTTCTTAACACTGGTCACTTCAATTTTGGAATGTCACTTTCCGAATTTGCAGACGGCCATGTTGAAATCCCTGATTTTCAACTTTGCCATTTCTGCAGGTACAGTAAATTTTTACATACCATTTGAAAGATCATGTTATCCTCAGTACCAGGTTATTTTTTTATGGTCAAAACATACATATTTGTCAAGATATTTCACTTTAAAAATTGCAATACCGTCGGTGTACAAGCCACACCGACGGGATCAGAAGCCCACCCCGGTCGGTAGTAAACTCTACCCCGTCGGGGTGGAAAACCACCCCGCACCCAGACCGCATCCAATTATCCTCATGAACACCCCATGAAAACCACTGAATTAATGAGAATTCACATCTTCACACCAGTGTAATTAGCAAGTTTGTGTGATAATTCATGAGAAGTCTGGGCTCAAAGGTTACCCCGACGGGGTTGGACAGCCCTGTCGGTGTGTTGAACAGCCCCGTCGGTGTGTCAGGTTGAACAGGCTGGGCTAATGGCCTAAGCCTTCAGACCAGACTGAAAGTAATTTCCCAATGAAGTTAAAAAAATTAACATTAAACTTGCTTCTAGGTTGATGGCGGTTTATACACAGTTTATTATATCACTTCATTATTGTAGTTCTGTGTGTATTCCTGCAGTTTTTCTAGACTGTATTTTCCAGGATTATGAAAGAACATTGTCTTCAAAGATACAAATGAGTCATGGATATCTCTGACATGGCAGGAATGGATATGATTGACCAGTCAACCTGCTCCACATGAGTGCCATATATATGTACATGACGTGTACAATCCTGTACATGTGTAGGTCCTAACAAGGAGGTTAAAAATCTAGTCTTTGTCCACCAATACCTAGCTCACTGTAGGATGAATTCTAGCAAGGAGGTTATAACCTCTAACCTGGCTAACACTAAGAATAGAGTTTGGACATGGCTAAAAATTTAATAAACATTGATAACAACTTTTCAAACTCCATGGATAAACTCATCTATCATTAACAGAATACCCCAGGGCTCAAAATATTTTTCACTGCATACCTGAACTGGTGCAGTAAACATTTAACCTGCACCAGACAAAGAAGAAAAATTTTGCTTGCACTTTGGCCACACCAAGTTAATTTATTGGTTAACGGATTCACCGCTTCATTTTTTCTGATTTGCAAATAAAAATAAAAATTCAAAATCAACTGCAAAATGCTCATATTTTGCCCTGAACAGTTGAAAACAGTCCTTTCCTTACTACTTGTTACAGTCATTCCATCTTTCAATGCAATGGTATCATTAAAAGTTCAAAATGATTGTTTAAATTTTGAACCAGCCTGGTGTGCGGACTGCATGGCTCCTATCGTACCATTTTGGGCCATAATAGGAAGCCTAGGCCT